GTGACACCGCTGTAAAGCTGCACAGTTATATATACCAAGGTTACAGGAGCGCTGTGTGTGTGTGTGTGTGTGTGTGTGTGTGTGTGCGTGTGTGTGTGTGTGTGTGTGTGCACTGCAGACTGTAAATGAACGGGGGAAATGCAAGTGTTTTAATTGAATTACTGTCGGCTGTGTGCTAACTAACCCTCGTGGAATTAAACCAATAAGGCCTCATTTATCCTGGTGAGGAAATGAACCTTTCAAACCTCCTTAAATTTCACCTTAAAGGCTCCGTCACTTCCTTATGATCACGTCAATCACACGCGTGTAAAAACACATCATTGTCATGACAGTGTTCGACCTGTAGGACGATAAATCAGGATTTCTGTGTTTGAAGTCAAATGAAGAGTCTGGTTTCTCGCTGTTTACGAACTTTACTGATGTTGATGGGAACAGCTTCGGCTGCACTGGCAAAAGTGAAGAAGACTTGAAACTAGAGACTGAGACAAAAACTCCTGAGGACAATGTTTACTGACGTTATACAGTGAGAAGTAGAGACAGTTTCTATAGACTTCTATAGAAATCACCAGAGGAGTCGCCCCCTGCTGGTCAGTACACAGAAGACAGGTTTCGACATTTGGCTTCACTTTCTGGATCCAGAGTCGACGGCATTTTTTTAAAAACAGCTTATGATCAAACTTTCTTTAAATGTGATTAGAAATTTTTTTTATATCTTTCTTCTGAAGCAGGATTTACACTTGACCCGTGCTGAGTTAAATTCTTTATCTGATTGCAGACTCTTTGTGTGCGGTGGTGTAAACCGTGGACTGTGAAGCTGCTCTGAGTGTAAACAGCAGCTCTGTTCTGTTCTCACATGCAGGAATACACAGCTTTGCTAAATGAACTCTTGTTAATATTGTGTTTTTTCTTTTCCTGCAGCCGTCTAAATAATTAGCTTTTGTTGTAGAAAATGATGAATTTGGGCAGTTAATTTATTGATCGGCCGGCTGCTCCGATGTGCTCGGCTTTAGAAAGCCATTAATCAATGGATGAAAACACCTAATTCTCCTCCTGCTCTGCTTTTCTCCTCTCTCTCTTCTTTCTGTTCTGCCTTCTGTTGGAATGAAGAGGAAAAATAAAGTGTTTCTGTTCATTAAGAACAAGTGAGCTTCAATAATTTCCTTTAAAATGCATTGAACAGCTCAAACGTCACATTTATTGTGATAAAAACAAGCTCACAGCAGTAAAAGTCTGACATTGACATCAATTATAAGGAATCTAAATGTTATTCTTGTGAACGGTGGCCGATGGTTCGATTCCCTCTTTCAGTGTGCATTCTGATGAAGCCCTTGGGCAAATATCTTGATCCAAATTGCCGCTCAGCTGTGTGAACGGTGTGTGATGGAGACGGTGCTGCATGAATGGGTGAATGCAACTTGTGGTGTAAAGTGGTTGATAAGAGTAAACAAGTGCGATACAATCCATTTACCACTTATATTAAATTCAATTGATTTTTACATGTCTTCTTAAATATGCTGTTTACAATCACTTGCATTTATCATGATAACCATGTGTTTCAGATTTATTTGACTTGGAGAATCGTGTAAAGACAGAATTAGCCTCTAAAAATGTATTTTGTGAAAATGTCCTTTCACTCATGTGGATGAATTAATGTTTATCTAAGTATCAAGTTCACTTCAAGTAGTGGAATGAATGAGCATGAGTGGATTGTTTGAATCGTGTATAAATGCCATTTAATTTAATGTTAACATCAGATTAATGGCCACACAATTAATTCATCCTCACATCACTGCCTCATTTGATTCCTTCAAAGATTAAAACCTCCTTTAAGTTTCTGATTCTCTAATCAACTCACTTGTGTTTTAAACACAAATATCATGAATATTTCCAACAGTTACTAAAGCAGGAGTCACGTAGTTATTACTTTTTGATATTGACCAATTAAATATGAGAAAATACCTCATCAAAGATAAGAGCATCAAACTGATTTTAGTCTTTGAGGTTAAAAGATAAATTAATCCGATGAGCTTGGATTCAAACTACCAATCCTAGGATTTCCCTGGTGGCTGACGTCGACCCTGAACTTGTGTCTCGGCCAATCAGACGGCCTGTTGTTGCTCCACATTCCTCCTCGCTGAAAAAGTAGCTTTAAGCCGACAAGAGTTCATTTTCAGACGCTTATGTTTGTGTTTTTGTTCGTTATCAATCCACCAGAGGTCCCGAGGATGACAAATGGGGCCTGTCAGGGCGACGCCAGTCATAACAACACACGCACACACCCACACACACAC